AAATACTCAGATATTTCTTTTTGCTAACTTATCTCAAACCAATTTTAAAACTTAAAAAATAAGGCAGACTATTTTCAGGTCTTAAAATTAGTTTACCTCTAATTTGATTTCATTGATAAAACGAAACGTTAACGAATTTGTTAGGTAGAGTTTTAAAATAATTACTTAGGTACTTACCATTTCAAAACATCACCATGTATTTATTTTATTTCAAAAACATAAAAAGCACTTTTGTTAACAATTCGTGTTTTGGTCGTAATCTGATATTGCATAAAAACCCCAATAGATAAAAATAACACTGTCAGAAGATATTACAATGCGTGCTCGCACTTGTTTAGTTTTGCTGCTGGTGGGCACTTTCGTGGCGCAGGCCTTTGGTAAGTAAACTAGGTACTTAACATATAGAACTACGTACTTGTCTTTAAGGGTTTTCTTAATTAATTGTAGGTACTCACAAGTAAAGCCGTATTCACCCCAGAATGGCTGTTGCCGGTGGGCAACCATTGGTGGCTTACCATTGGTGTATTTTAGGGGTAACCTGGCTACCAATGGTAGGCCTAGTGCAGACAGCGAAATCGCGCTGTTTCTAGGCAGCTCTTGTACATTTGCATCAAACTGTAGTGCCAGGATACCCCTTAGATTAATAAAACCTAGATAGATAGTCAGTGCACGAAAGGTGAGGCAGTTTTTAGGGAGCCGGCACGGCTTACCCGTAAACGTCACATGAACTGTCAAAGTGAAAAATTGGTAAACACGTCCGACGAATTTTAATTAATTAAAACGGGTTGTGCTGTGAAAGGGTGTCTAAAATACATCAGAAAAACAAAAGAAAGTGACCAGTGTTACATTTCATAAGTAAGTACTACGATTCGACGCGTATTTTGCTTGAATTTGGCTTTCAAAAATTAAATACGGGAATGATACCAGTAACAAGAAAATTTATTTCCCAATTGTTCGCCGTACAAATACACTTCCTTTTTTATGAAATCGAGACTTTTAAGTCGATTTATCTTATTGTTATTAGGTAGGTACTTTGAATTCAATAAATAAGTAAGTACATGATGCGTTTTGTTTTTGTTAATTATAAAATTATTAAAAACGTATTAAAAATTTCCCTACTTTCGGGAAAATCGCCTTCACTGTCTACACTCCCCAACAAAATTGACACTAATGACATAAGATTTTTGCCTCACTCTTGACGAAGCGTTTGTATGAAGACTATCCATCTAGGTTTTATTAATCTAAGGGATACCCCTAAAATACACCAATGGTAGGCCTAGTGCAGACAGCGAAATCGCGCTGTTTCTAGGCAGTTCTTGTACATTTGCATCAAACTGTAACCGCACGCTTACCGTCTTAGTGCCTCGGCAACGTACCACCACAGTGTACCACCCAGAAACCGCGCGGTTTATATCGCACATGTCTGAAACTGAACCAGGCCCTATAGCGCCAGATCAATGGCGAGTGACTGACCTTCAGTTAAGGACTGTCCAAACCAAGTACTTAGCGCCAAACCTGCCCTAAACCACCATCTTACCTAAGTCTGTCGCCTTAACAATAATGTTAAAACAGTATTGTTGTGTTCCGGCAGTTAGAGGTAATAAGATACCTAGCCAGTTCCCCCGTGGTTGAGGATTCCGGGTGAAGCTCGCTTTCATCTTCTTCCTGATCATCACTTACCATCAGGTGAGATACAGGCCAAGAGCTTCCTCGTTGTGGATAAAAAAAACTACTAGAATGCGACTCTCCCTCCAACTTACCCGCACTCCTCCCCGCTTTCGCCTCGTCCGCATTAGAGTCGATGTGACGTCACGGCTGCCAGGTTAATTCAACCGGGTAGTGTAGTATCCGTCCACCCACAAGGTGGACAAATCCCACCACCACCCATGGCCATACCAACCTCGCGGTTATTGTGGCCGAATCTTGAGAGATGCACGCGGAACTGCCTAGGGCAGATTGCACTCAACCGCGCGCAACGCTTGACCACAATGTGGCTTGACTCTCTACAAGTTCTTTATTCTTCGTCCATTTGTCCCTCTTTGCCACTCTCCCCCTTCCCACAAGGTGGACAGAAGACCCTATAAAGTTTGCAGGAAGGAGTTGCCTGCAGGTCACTGGCAATCGACCAATCTGGAAGTTTTATAGGAGGCGTATGTTCAGCAGCGGACACGACGTCCTATGGCTGAAATGAGGATGACATTAAAATCTGTGATTGAGATTAATCTAGTAAACTCGTAGGCCTGGGATGCCTGGGATGTACGCCACGATTAACTTTTATCGAGGCTTATCGATTTACGCGATAAGTCCATTTCTAACCGACTTCATGTCACCATGTGATGGTGTGATGATGTGACCACACTGTGATGATTTTATCATGGCGCGCATCGTAGCCAAGTTGGTCAATGAATCATTGGATAATAAGGCTCTGAATGACTCGTTACCAGGACGTGGACTTCGTAAAGGTAGCAGGAAGGCGCTGGACACAGGCCGCTACCAACCGGGCAGCATGGAAAGCATTGGTGGAGGCCTATGTTCAGCAGTGGACGTCCTATAGCTGAGATGATGATGATGGTGATGAATGACTCGTTTTCCCAGGCCAATGCTCAGAATTCCCGGACTTTCCCAACGCTGAAGATGGCTGCGATCACTCCTGCGAACGACGATGTGAAACGTTTGCTAACTGTCAAAATTGTGAAGACCGAGTCAAATGCCAGTGCAAAGAGGGGTACAAGTTTGACAGCAACACCTATGAGTGCGTGAGGGCGGAAGACTGTTGTAAGTTTTCTTATTTTGAATATTTTGTAACTTCTTTTGTATTAGCCTAAGCGCAGACCATCAGACCACCGATTTTTGTCGGCCCATAGTTTAGTCGGGCAGTTAAACAGTATGGGCAATGTATGGAAGTGCGCACATTACACCGATTTGGTATCGGCCGATTTTTCATACAATAAGAATACAATTAGAATCGGGCCCAATATCGTCGAACTATATAAAAGTTGGTGGTCTGCGCCTAGGTGTGGACCCTAACAACAAGCGAGTCTATATACACCACTAAATTTTAATCACCGAAAAAAAAAATTCTGGGTAATGAGTTATTGATACTGATCCCATTTGTGCAAAAAAAAGAGTAAAATAAAGTGACTCAAAATATCCTCCTAAAATTGGTAATTTATTGACACACGCGTCGCTAGCACTATTTAAGTATGATAATGTAACACTTACTAGAATTAAAAATGGTCTAAGTTAGCTAAGTATGTAATAATAACACTGGAAGTGGAAGCGTGGTCGAGGCGTGAGTGAGACAGACAGATCGATGCAGCGTGCGAGCGTGTACGATTACTCTAGCGAGCAGCGGAGTGACCCAGCTGTGACGCGTAAAATACGGACTAACGAAAATTTAATAAAAAAATTAACTTCATGAAAACCATTTCTTTTTCTTTTGCTTTCAATATTCCACACGTTTCTACATAACCTGTTAAAATTTTTTCGGTGATAAAAATTTAGTGGTGTATTGTTTCTTAATAAACACATCCCTAAACATTAGACCCGATTTTCCACCAATGCGAAGCGGAGACGAGATGAGAATCAGATGTGTGGCAGAGCTGGCACACCAAAGCGGAGCGTATGAGTTAAAAGTGCCGCACTTTTATGCTCTTTGGTGCCGCATTTTATTAATTCATAATTTCATACAGCACATATTTTTCCCATTATGCGGGCTACACGCACACGTGTCGAAATCTTTATCACAACAAGGCACTAACATTTTACGCATTAAGTAAACCTAAGTAAGTAGGTACTACATAATTAATGTAATCTACTTTCTTTCCAGCTTCTTGATCCTGAAGACAACATGCTGCTTAGAAGACCATACCAACCATACCCGGATTAGCTTTTATTTGTATACTGGTCTTCCCTTAATGAGCTCAACAATATCATGCGTTGCCCGTGGTCTTACTGCTAAGTCCTACTGGTAGGAACTTGGTAAGAACTTAATTTTTTTCCGTGAATCTAGCAGGTAGGACTGATCAGAAGGACCATTGGCATAGCACGAAAAATATTATTATTACAAACACATAAAACAAAATAATCAGAAAAAGATTAAATACTGCTGAACTGTTTTAATATTTTTAGTGTCTACTCCTATACCTCTAGCACGAAAAACTTTACATTTGACAAGTAAGTCCCTCAAGGGTGTAGACTTGTAGAGACACCTCCCTGACAGTCAGACAGAAACAGATGGGTCTAGACAAAGTGCAAATTATAATCGCAAACCAGTCGCAAAGTGGTCGAAAAGCCCCTTTTTTGTATGGAGTTTTGACGGATTCGATTTTCGATTCGATCAAAAAGTGCGTTTTGTCTAGGGGGGCAGTGGGTCTAGACAAAGTGCAAATTATAATCGCAAACCAGTCGAAAAGAAGTGGTCGAAAAGATTTTCGATTCGATCAAAAAGTGCGTTTTGTCTTGGGGGGCTGTCTTCATAATAATTATCACAACGTTTCAAATTGTGAGTTTTAGCACAGAATATTATTATAGTTCCATAATACTGGACTGTCCTATCGATGACATTGACAGTGGGGCGCCACCGTCAATACCGGATCGCTGGTTCCGATTTTTGCCATGTTGGAAACCATATAGTTGAACGATGGTAGCGCCCCCCTGTCATTGAGTTTGGTGGGACAGTTCAGCGTGGGTCATCTAGTGCCAACTTCAACAAGGAATTTGTGACTGAGTAACAAGTGTCATTCTCTGTGTGGCACTCTGTGGCCAGAACCACACGGTTTAGTAGTAGGGTCAGATACTAAGTTCGAAATAAAACCTACCTAAAGTCTAGTTGGGGGAATCATCACAGTTGCGGAACCGACCCCATAAAATTACAAAACCTATGTATTCCTACCTAGGTATTCCTAACATGTATTCTTCCGAAAGCCTCACCTACTCTCAAAACTCGTGTTACGCGAAATAAAAGTGCAAAATGATCCAAAGAATACCATTTATTCAAAACCAATACACTAAACCCGTAACCAAAAATATTTAATCCAAAATAAATCTACATCAAAACCTATTCGAAATAGCGGGCTTCACAAGATGGCGGTTAGCAAAATGGCCGACTAGACCCACTTCTTGGCAATGCCGACGGTTTTGCGCAAATGCATGTCGTCAGGGATGGGCATTTGCCCGTATTTGTCGACCCCGGGACCCGGCGCCAGTTGTCGATGGTGGCGAGCGATTTTGCAAATCGATTGCGATGGAGCGTACCGATTATGATAGTTGTAGAAGTGGAAGTCGCTGGAATGAAAGAATAAAAATCTCTATTAGTCGGTATTCTAGGCGTTTTTAAGGCACTTAATTCGCGGGACCAAAATCGCGATTCCCGCAAGTGGAAATCCTGTGCAGCTGGGATCTACACCTTAGCCGCCAATAAAGACCCAAACAGTTGAATAGTCCCATTGAATAGCTATCACTGTGTGAAGACTTTGAAACCGCCATTATTAGAATAAGTAAGTAGGTAGGTTATTATAATTATTGCAAGATAAAGAGCAGGTAGCTGGCAGTGAGCTTAAGGTGGTTAAATGAAAAACTTGGAAGATTTGGGAATTTCTGTAAGAAGGTTTAAGCCCAGGCAGCAGACTTTGACTACCTGAAATGAATCTACGAGGAGTTTTAAATTACCTATAAATAAATAGTTGTACTCACTCGACTTTGGGAAACTGGAAGGGGTTCCGCTCTCGGCCCATATTAGTGTCGATATACCGCCGCCAGCGGCACCCTAACAACCGGTTGCGTCGCAGAGAGTAGTGGCGCACGCGCGTGTAGTCAAATAGCTTCTTTTCGAATAAGGGTAGTACTCTAAAGTCGTTGGAGAAGGTCTTTACTATTGCTGCAAGGATAAAATGATAGAGTGATTAGGGTCCAAGGAAAAAAAATATTGCACAGGGGTAGGAAGTAAAACAGCAACCTAGTGACTAAAACAGCTTTTCCTGTAGTAGTACAAACAGCTTGTCTAGTAGCATAAACAGCTTGTGTAGCAGCTAAAACAGCTTGTCTGGTTTTGCGGAATTGCGTTTAGACAGTGTGGGATTAGGTTAAAAGATAGGAAAATGAATTATTATAAATTACTTAAGTCAGAAACAAGGTTCTGGGGTGGAGGCCGCGTACCGGAAAACGCAGCGTGGGACGTCCACCCACAAGGTGGACCGACGACATCATAAAGGTAGCAGGAAGGCGCTGGACGCAGGCCGTTACCAACTGGGCAACATGGAAAGCATTGGGGGAGGCCTATGGAGAGGGAGGGAGATGATGATGATGAAATCAAAACCCTTGTCGTGGCTAAACGCAATCCGGGAGAGCCACAATGAAGAAAAAAAAACATCTTGTCCAGCAGTACAAACAGCTTTTCTAAAGTCTGGTCCGTAAGCAGGTAGAATTTTGTCCAATGACCCCTAGCTACCCATCCTTATCGCTCGCGCGTAATTATGTTGCTATCGCGCTCGCACACTCACTTCGGGTGCCAGTCGCAGTCGCGACAGCAATATAATTACGCGCAAGCGATAAAGATGGGTAGCTAGGGGTCATTGGACAAAATTCTACGTGCTTACGGACCGGGCTTAGCAGCTAAAACAGCTTGTCTGATAAATAAATAGATAGTAAACTACATAAATATTTGGCTTAGCTCTACCTTCGTCAACGGAGATGTCCGGTTGTGTCCGTTTAATATGGCGGCATGCTGCGTATGGGGAAGCTGCATCATCATTCTTTTCCATTTCAGATAGGCTATTGTGAAGAGAGCTTTCAACAAACTTTCCCTGCAAATGGACATGTGTACGGAATACTAAAAGAAAGATAGAAATAAAGCACCGCACAAACTAGATCTCGACAGAAAATGATGAAGTGTCAAAACGGAATGTTCTTTTTTTGGTTTTTCTTCTTTTTTGAGGAAAGAGGAGAGGATTGTTATTGTTAGTTTATGAATTTAAGAAGTTTTTATTTAAGGCACAGTGTAAGTGCACAGTTTAAGTAGGCGCGTAGGCGGTCTTATCGCCAGGGAGAAATCTCCACCAGTCCAGATAATCCAGAGAAAGGACAGTAAGTTGTTAAACTAAAATAATACAAGCTTTGTCGTCTATACATACATACATATAAGAACTTTTTAAAAGTCTAATAAGTTTTAAAAAGTATAGCGTCAAGCGTCATGTTTGAGAGGTCCCATCAAAGAATATATTTACTCTGACTGTCAATTCTACCAAACAATACAGTGCCCAAGGAAATATTTTTAAAAACCAGAATCACAAATACTTATTTAATAGTTTCTCTAAGACAAAATGGCCAGAAACAGCAGTTTATACGATTCGTGCAAAAACATAAAAAGGGAACCCATGTCACATGTTGCTGATGAGAGTGAGTTATTTGTATTATCATAAGTACAGACTACACCCTCTATTTCTGCAGGCTGCTGCTTCCCGGTTACAGAAGAACAAATCCATCTGTGTATACTTCCTATGACTGTTGCTAGTGTATAGCAACACAATTTTATGCTTTATTGATTGATTGATTAACGCCCGTATTCACAAACATTTCTATGAGGTCCCACAGTGCGTGTGGACGCACAGGTTGACATTGACACACGAACCAATCATAGAGCTTTATTCAACAACGCTGTGCGTTCGATTTGCTGCTTCACTTTTGTAACCATCGTTTGTGAATACGGGCGTAAGGTCCTAACCTAAGTAACTAGGCTTCAGCCTTATTTAGTGTAAGCGCCATAATTTTATGGGATCGAAAAAGAGACAAGGCTTTTCTATGGACAAGGTTTTTTTTCTATAAATTACCTAGTAGATACCTAGTTACTTACCTACTCTCTTAAAATATTACACAGTACACTGTGGGTGCAACTGTCCTTTTTCGTCATCTCTCATCAACTACAGTAGTAATTAAATTACCATTCCTCCTCACATATATTTCTATTTTTCATACCTCATCATCAGCCTTCCATCATGCGTTCCATTTTAGACATAGCCCGCGAGATCGGCAACAACTACCGCACCATTCCCACGTTCGAAAAGGGCCTGTTTGAGCACCAGTTCATCCGCCACTACTCGCTGCAGAGGAACCAGCAGCTCAAGTGTCGCTGGTCGGTGTACAAGCAGAATATTGAGGGGAGGGTCTTCGCGCCTTTTCAGTTTCCTAACCACAGGTAGATTATTTGCTCTGTTATCACAGGTGGAGGTTAACTTATTTTGACATTCATCATCATCATCATCTCAGCCATAGTACAATAGTACATCAATTTGGTACCAAAATTATAATTATTATTTTTAGATTGTATATATTTTTTGTTTTGTATTAGAATAAGTTAAATATTGTGTAGGTTTTAAGTGCATGTAATTTGGTGCCAAATAAACATTTTTTGTTTCTTTCTTTCTTTCCATAGGACGTTCACTGCTGAACATAGGCCTCCCCCAATGCTTTCCATGTTGCCCGGTTGGTAGCGGTCTGCGTCCAGCGCCTTCCTGCTACCTTTATGATGTCGTCGGTCCACCTTGTGGGTGGACGTCCCACGCTGCGTTTTCCGATACGCGTATTTTGACATTACAATTAAGTTAACAATCTCGACTCGAAAACTCAACTGGAAAAAATCTTAGATTTTCCCACTGGGCAGCTGTTTGTCCAGAGCCTCACGATGAAGGGAGCCCCCTATGAGTTGTATTATTCTGTGATTGTTACCTAAGAATTAAGTAGTGTAGTTCTATATTTTTTTTTCAGATCACCTTTTTTTAAATGTCCAGGCCTCAAAATTTGGCGAACGCGTAGTCCCACATATCGCGCGCGAATTGTGTTGGAGACTAAGATGATCGATAATTGTATTTTATTCAATAAGTAGGTAAACATACAGGTTACATATCAAAATACATAAACAAAATGAAAAGTGTCTGACTCCAACCTACAAGTAGCATAAATTTAAGAATTACGATGATTTAATTTACGTTTTAATTTAATTTTAATTGTTTCATATCAACTATTCCTTTCTAGAAAGGTCTCATCTATCTATTCCTAGATTTATAGATGACGATAGCAGTACGCAACGCTTTGCAACTCTAATAAAATAGTATTAATAATCTTCAGGGATTTGCACTTCTACCAGAGCGCTATTCGATTCGCACCGTCCGAGTCGATATATCGATACCCCGAGCATCGAATGAAGTTGAAGCCCGGCCCCGGAGTCGATTTCCGGGGACAGATGCCCATCCCTCAGGAAATGCACATGAAGCGCGGGAAAATCGAAAAAAGTGACAGCCACAGACAAAAAATTAAATCTGCGAAGAAAAAAGTTACCGGTGCAAAGACATAAGTCCTATACTGTTTGCTAATAGATTTATTTAGGATATTTTGTATGTTAATGTACTTATTTACTTTGTATGCAATGTTAATTTTGTAATAGTTTAATTTTTTATGTTCAACTCATTTTGTAAGTTTGTTTTGTTAAGAGCTTTGTTTAGTTATAATTTTAATAAAGTTATTTTGTTTACGAAAAATTCTTTCATTTACATTTTGTATACAGGGTGACAGGTAAAGCGATACATTCCTTGAAAGGGGTTAANAGCTTGTATTAGAAGACGGGGCTCACAGTTTGAGCAGGACTTAAAATAATGTACCTAGATAAAATTAGGTGATACAATTATTATTAAAATACTAAGTTTTCATTCATTGAGACCCAAGAACAGTTGTTAGTGTGACTTTTTTATTTATTTATTTTTTTATGAAAGTATCTTACTAGACGTTTAAATTCAAATAAAAAAATAATTATGTATTGTTTGTTAAACACCTGTACCTTTTTGAATAGCTAATGAATCAAGGAACTAAATTCTGTAATTTGTACACAACATTCCATACATTTTTTCTTGGAAATTCTTCGTTTAATTACCTAAAACATATTTTTTTTGCAAAATAATACATGGTTTTTTAGCTTTTACTTGAGAAATGATGATTCTTTCTTGCAAATTTTAATTTTAAATGTCAATCTTATTATTTAGCTATACGAATACAACAAAAAAGTTAACATTATTCCGTATTCTTCATTGCAAGGGTACATTTTAACATAAAAACTGGAGATTTTTAAAAAAATACTTAAATCTCGAATAACTTGGAAATGAACAAGTTTCGGACATGGTGTCATATGACTTAAATGACTGCAAATAAGCTCTACTTTAACCCCTTTCAAGGAATGTATCGCTTTACCTGTCACCCTGTATATGAGAGAGACACAGTAAAACACTGGAATCACGCACATAATGTTTTATAAATAAAACACCCACAGACATAATAATAATTATTGAATGTCATAATTTATTGACACCCGTATTCACATTTCACATTAAACAGTTCGCGTGGTCGCTCCGGCACTATGCACGCGTCCCGTCCGAAACGCACAACTAAAGTCCGGTCGCCGAGCAGATAGAATTTCGTCCAATGACCCCAAGCTACCCATCCTTATCGCTCGCGCGTAATTATATTGCTGTCGCGGCCGCAGTGAGTGTGCGAGTGCAACAGCAAATATAATTACGCCTGATCGATAAGGATGGGTACCTAGCTTGGGGTCGTTGGACGAAATTCTATGTGCTCGGCAACCTAATTCTATGTGCTGACTTTATCTAGGGTAGCCGCCAGGTAGCTGAGGGCACTAATAGTAAACAATAGCTTAACTACTTAAATACATATGGAAATAGACTTATATTTAAGTTACTTAAAATTAAATTAAAATTCAGTTACCTAACTTAACAACTTAATATGTGTAAATCAGTCTTTAAGATATCCAAATATGAAATATCCAAACACCGAGGATAAACTAGAGGTCTAGTTTTTAGAAGAATAATTTTGTATTATAAATAATAATTTAATTTTTGACTTTTATTTTATACAAACACAAAATATTTATGAAGTTTTATTTTCAATCTGTTTACTTAACAGTTCAATTTCTAATTTCAGTTTTTGTATTTGTAAATCGTGCATCTGTTTCTCGTGTTCTAGCAAATTCTTTTCTCTGTCTATCAATATTTTTTCTCTTTCTACCCTCAACTCGTGTAATGCCTGGTCCTGTTGAATGTTCAACGTGGTACGTCTGACTTTTATATCTGTCTCGCTTGGGAATCTCTGGCTACCTGCAAAACAAATTGTGAATGTGTTTAAAATACTACAATAATTTCACTTCGCGATTAACGAGAGGTTTTGTCGCCTCACTATTGCACAGACTAAAAATGCGTTAATGTCAGTCGGCCATATTTATTTACGTTTCTGCTGAAGTCTAAAGAATTCGACTAGATCGTTTCATCCACGAAGACGCGCCCCACCATTCTTCCGCCAATGTTTCAGAGTTATCGGTACACGCTAAATCATCCATTAGTGCACACGCATACTACAATAATGCCGCTCAGATTGCTCGGATCACACTCCCCGCACCCCGCGCGACCGAGACCAAAAATTGGTGGGGCGCGTTTTCGTGGATGAAACGATCTATACATTTATTACTTACTAGTGGCCCAAGTACACTATGCAGGAAATTGGCTTAGACCATTGGTTCGAAAGGGGGCGCGTCTCAAATAAGTTTGGGAACCAATGGCCTAGACGTAATAGTGTGAACACCTGGCTCAGTTACTTTCTCCTTCCCCCATTCGTGCGTCGCCCATACTTCGGAGTGTGATCTAGCGCGTCTCGGTCAATTTTCCACATAAGGCCCAGAACAGACGGTGAAACGCAACTGCAACGAAACTGCAAATTTTTGATGATTCTGATGAATGAAACTGAAACTAAACTGGTCGCGTCATGTGTGCTCTCTCAACGGACGCTATGGCAGAAACTTAGATGCAACTCAAAAGTAACTAGCAGTTGCAGTTTCGTTGCAGTTGCGTTTCACCGTCTGTTCTGGGTCTAAGTGTACTTGCACCAACAAATCTATACTAATATTATAATCTATACTAATATTATAAATGCGAAAGTAACTCTTGCCTGTCTGTCTCGCTTTCACGCCTAAACCACTGAACCGATTTTGATGAAATTTGGCATAGAGATAGTTTGAGTCCCGGGAGAGGACATAGGATAGTTTTTATCCCGGTTTTTGAAACAGCGCGCGCGATAACTTTTCTGTGACAGACAAAATTCTACGCGGGCGAAGCCGCGGGCGGAAAGCTAGTACTGTTCATAAATAAGTACAATACCTACATGTAACTATTGGATCGTCATTGTCTGGATCAAGATGGTTTTCGAAATATGGTTCCTCTGCATCAGGTTTAGCTAAAAACAAAAAATAATATTGCTTTAAATAAAGTAAGTGCTAGTTAAGAAATAATAATTTTAAAAAAAAAAAAAAAAAAAAAAAAAAAAAAAAAAAAAAAAAAAAAAAAAAAAAAAAAAAAAAAAAAAAAAAAAAAAAAAAATTATGATATAGGTATTAAACTGGATGTATGTTTGTAGGCCACTATCAACTAGTGAACATGGAAATCATTGGGGGAGGCCTATGTTTAGCAGTGGACATCCTATTGCTGAAATGATGATGATAGGTATTAATAGGTATCTAAAACTCGAGAATGGCTGGACCGATTTAGCTTGATTTTGGTTGGGAAATTATTTTTATACTCCAAGGAAGGTTTAAGCGGTGAGAAAACATGGGAAAATTGCGATTTGATTTCAACACATATGAAGTTTTGGGCACAGCTAGTTAAGAAATATATTTTATGATATAGGTTTAATTACTTACCCTCAATTGAATTTGAATCGATTACTTCCGGGACTTGCACGTTAATAAATGAGTCAATTGTGCTTATATCATTGTCAGACGTACAGCCATTTTCATCTTTCGTCAGATGTAGAGGATCTGCAGTTCCACCGATGCGTTTCAAAGTCAACGATTCCTGAGAAAGTTCCTTCTTTCTTATCGTCTTCATGTTCTCCCAGCATCTTTTCAATTGGTGTGTGAGCCTCTTTGAGACGAACGGTTGAGAATTATAAGCGATGGTGAGATCTTCCCAGGCCCGTTTCTTCAACCGGATATTTTTAGCGTTGACGCGCTTATCTTCAATGACAGGCCGTTCCCTTACTAAAGCTATAATCAGCTTTCTTTCAGACGGAGAAAACGCAAGCTTTTTTGAACTGAAAAATAATAACATTCTTTTCACTATTTTAGTTGTGAATACTCAAACATTATTAAGAGGTCTCACAGAGCGCGTGGACGCACAGGGTGACACACGAACCAATCGCACAGTTCTATTCAACGCTGTGCGTTCGATTTGCTGCTCCACTTAAAAAAGCATCGTTTGTGAATACGAGCGTTAGTTTTATGAATGAAAATAACGCCCGTATTCAGCATCAAACAATAAGAGGTCTCACAGTGCGCATGGACGCACAGGGTGACACACAAATCAATCACAGAGCTCTATTCAACGCTGTGAGTTCGATTTGCTGCTTCACTTAACATCGTTTGTGAATACGGGTGTAATTAATTAATGAAATCGAAGTATTCCTACTGACCTGACGGTATTATTTGACATGGTACACAAAGTTGTAGGTTTATTATCCTTAGGTAATATTTTCACAAAATTCATTAATCGGCTTCGGCACAACAAAATTACCAAAAGAAAGACACGAATGCGAAACGCGACGAATTGTTATGACATAGGACAGAAATGAAATCAAATGTCAGTCAATCGTCAGTCAGCGGAGTGAACTTGCTGCGAACTGCGTAAAAACGAACCAATCACAAAGCTCTATTCAAGGCTGTCCCTTCGCATAGTGATGTGACAATCGATGTGTAATTAATCATATCGACCTTAGTTAATTTACGACAATCATTAAATTTTATCAATAAAAATTGCATATTTTAGGACTCATTTGAACTACAGTTTAATAATCAATACTTCTTTCGAGCAGTATTCGTCATTTATAGTTCCAAAATACTGAACTGTCCTATCCATGACATTGACAGCGGGGCGCCACCGTCAATACCGGATCGCTAGTTCCGATTTTTGCCATGTTGGAAACCATATAGTTGAACGATAGTAGCGCCCCCCTGTCATTGAGTTTGGTGGGACAGTTCAGTGTGGGTCATCTATAGCTGAAATGAACGAAGGAAAAACACTTTTTCAGGCATACAAATAAAACTAACACATTCTAGAATAGAATAGAATAGAATAGAATAGAATAACGTTTATTTTGCTGCCACATGAATACACATACATACAAAAAACAAACGGTCAACATTACAGAACCAGTCAAAAGAATGATAATATACAACGTGTCCCAAAATTCAAGGATAAGCCGGCGCCGCAGGGTGGACATAGTCATGACTACTTTAGGAAAAATAAGAAAAAAAATCTATCTCGATTATTTTTTAAGTTACACAATAAATTATGAAATTTGTCGAAAATTGACACCCCTTATGATATTTTACATTACCACGACTACAATTTTTCAAATACTTCAGTTTTTTTGTTTGTATCGGTAACTTAAGTAGTGCTGCTGTCCACCCCAATTCTTAAAACCCTCAGAACCCTTGCAGTTTTTACACAAAAGTTAATCAAAATATGATATTTCCTTAAAATTTTGAACGATTTTTACTTACACTCCACTTTGACTCGTCGTTTTGTAAAAAAACAGTATAAACACTACTGCGGCAAGTTTTTTATAAAGTTGACGCAACTATCCAAGATTCCGAAATGGTATAATACTCTAAGAAAACTAGTCGCAAAAAAGATATGCGTACCATTTTTACAAGCATTTCGCTTGTAAGTTAGTATGAGATAAATCTTGCAACTGAATTTAAAACCAGTTCTCCTTAACCAATTGAGCTGAAATTTGGTATACTTGTGTAAGTACGATGACAATGCAATATTATGGTACCATTGAGCTGGATGGAGTATGGAGGTGGCCATAGGAACTCTTAACGAAACGGCGGAATTACATCTAGTTTGGGTTCGTTGGACTTGTCTTTTCGAGCACTTTAGTGCTAGATGATGTTCAGGGTCCTGATGATGAAGTCAAGAGGTGGCAGGAGCTGGCCATAGGAACTCCTAAACGAAACGGCGGAAGCTTATCGAGTTTGGGTTCGTTGGATTTGTCTTTTCGAGCACTTTAGTGCTAGATGATGTCCAGGGTCCTGATGATGAAGTCAATTATAATTTTCAAACGAAGTCAAGCTTGTTTTTAAATAAGTTTTTATTTATTACAACTTTATTTTAAGCTTTTTAGTTGTTTCTCAATCTCATGGCCTAAGTGCTCGGGAAGACAAATCCAACGAACCCAAACTCGATAAGCTTCCGCCGTTTCGTTTAGGAGTTCCTATGGCCAGCTCCTGCCACCTCTTGACTTCATCATCAGGACCCTGAACATCATCTAGCACTAAAGTGCTCGAAAAGACAAGTCCAACGAACCCAAACTAGATGTAATTCCGCCGTTTCGTTAAGAGTTCCTATGGCCACCTCCATACTCCATCCAGCTCAATGGTACCATAATATTGCATTGTCATCGTACTTACACAAGTATACCAAATTTCAGCTCAATTGGTTAAGGAGAACTGGTTTTAAATTCAGTTGCAAGATTTATCCCATACTAACTAACAAGCGAAGTGCTTGTAAAAATGGTACGCATATCTTTTTTGCGACTAGGTTTCTTAGAGTATTATACCATTTTGGAATCTTGGATAGTTGCGTCAACTTTATAAAAAACTTGCCGCAGTAGTGTTCATACTTTTTTTTTACAAAACGATGAGTCAAACTCGAGTGAAAGTAAAAATCGTTCAAAATTTTAAGGAAATAACATATTTTGATTAACTTTTGTGTAAAAACTGCAAGGATTCTGGGGGTTTTAAGAGTTGAGGTGAACAGCAGCACTACTTAAGTTGCCGATATAAACAGAAAAACAGGAATATGTGAAAAATTGTGGTCGTGGTAATGTAAAATATCATAAGGGGTGTGAATTTTCGTCGAATTTCATAATTTATTGTGTAAGTTAAAAAATAATTGACATAGATTTTTTTCCTTATTTTTCCTAAAGTAGTCATGACTATGTCCATCCTGTGGCGTCGGCTTATCCTTGAATTTTGGGACACGTTGTATAATAATTAATCGGGACAGTTACTTGGCGGCGCTGCAGCAGCAAAAAGGTCCCCGTCTCAGCATGTGTCAAGTGCATACCACATGACGCTGATTTTCAGACGGCGGCCGTGGTCTGAGTTGCTCGGTGTATCAGGATATGAGTTTTATAAATGTCAAATTTAATGTCAAGTAGTAGAAGAAATTAATACAAATAGAAAAATAAATAAAAAATTAAACAACATTAATATGTAGGTATAATTAAAGGAAATGTCAAAATTAAATGTCAAAAACGATAGAATTGTAGATGTCAAAAAGAATCTTATAGAACAACTAGAGGAATTGATGATACTTAGCAACGTGTCATTTTTTGAATGCTGAGTAAGTGTTTTCTAAGTTTACTTTTGAAAGTAAACTTAGATTGAGCTTGTCTAATGGGCGGGGGCAGGTTGTTCCAGCATTTGGTTGCCAAGTATCTAAAGCTACCCCTAAACGCGGCGGTCCTGTGTTTGTGATTGACGAGTTTCCAGGACCTACCCCGGGTGTTGTACACAGAGGATGAGTGTAACCACTGCAATTTTTTATGGAGATATTCAGGTGTCTCACTGTTAATCACGCCAAAAAGCAAGCTTGCAAAGTGTAAATCTCGACGGGACTTCATGTTCAGCATATTCGCTTCATTTATGAAAGGAGACACGTGAGTTCTCGGAGGAATGTGCTGAGAAAATCGCATACACGCGTTTTGAACTCGTTGCAATACTCGGCACGAGCGTGAAAGTAAACAAGGGCCAAAAACGGGTAAACAGTAATTTAGCTTTGACAAAACCAGACTTTCAACGAGTCTAGTTCTGAGCTCCGAACTGAGGTAGTCCCTGAACCTGTATAAGACTTTCAGCCTGTAGAGGCAACACCTGGCCAACTCGGAGACATGACTCTCGAAACGGAGGCCGGCATCAAATGTCACACCCAGATTCCTTGCTGACCAGACTCGTTCCACTATCTGGTCATTAATTGTAATACTTGGATCTCTACTCTCAACAAACTCGATCTGCTTCTTGGTACCAAAGATCATATACTTTGATTTAGCTGGATTCAGCGTTAGGATATGGTTTTGAGCCCATACTTTGATCCTATGCAGTTCTTCATTCAGTTTAACCGCTGCGTCTTCGGTTTTTCTGGGGTCAAAGGACAGGTAAATTTGAAGATCATCGGCATACATATGGTATCGACAGTCCCGAATTACGCAAGGCACATCAGAGCTGTATAGTATGAACAACAGAGGCCCCAGTATTGAACCCTGGGGAACTCCTCTGTGGAGTGAACGCAATTTAGAACTTTGGGTGACACCATTTGAGGCCAATTCCACGAATTGTGAACGTTTTTCCAGGTAACTTGCAAACCATGCTACAGTCCCATTATCAAAGCCGTAGAAAGTGAGTTTGGAGAGCAGGAGGGGCACGCTGATTGAATCAAAGGCGCGAGAGAAATCCAAGAGAACCAAAATAGTAGCCATACCCTGATCCTGAGCCGCCAAAATATTATCAACTACGTCGAGAAGCGCTGTTGCAGTGCCATGTCCCCTTCTAAAGCCAGATTGAAGACTCGGGAGTATGTTAGTGTCTTCCCGATATTTGGTTACCTGTTCATGCACAATTTTTTCCAGTACCTTGGATAGGCATGGGAGTAAACTTATTGGCCTCAGATCTTTGAATTGTTGAGGGTTGTTGTTTTTAGGAAGAGGAACGACTTTAGCTATCTTCCAAACGTCGGGGAACGTACTTGTGGTGATGGATTGGTTTATTATGAAGGTGATATGGGGCAAAGTGTGAGGCAAAGTAAGGAAGATCATGTCGAGAGAGATGTTATCTACCCCTCTAGCATTAGATTTCATACTCAGTAGGACTTTAGCAACTTTATCGCATGAAACCGGTTGCAATGAAAAAGTATCGGCTGTGGTTTTATGGAATTCATAATAGGTTAGCTGTGATAGTTCCACCGAGTCCCTGCCAGGAATATTTAGAAAATGATCATTAATATCGTCAGGATTATTTAAATAATGAGGAATGTCAGGCTTACATTTACTGTCAGGTAATACATTATTTTTGAGATTTCGCCATAATAATTTAGGGTCGTTAATCGCACTGTTAATATGAGTGTTGAAATATGCACACTTTTCAGACCTGAGCGCTGAAGCAGCCAAAGTTTTAAGCTGTTTGTACTCGGATTTTTTAAGATCAGATTTATCGGCGCGGTATTTGGAAAGGGCGGCATCTCGTAGCTTCATGATTGCTCTCACATTGCTTGTGATCCAAGGCGTTAAACCCTCCCTGAATTTGGTCGTCCGCTCAGGCGCATGAAGATCGAACAGCACCGTTACGAATTCATTGAAAATTTCAACCATTTCATTTACGGAGTGAGCAGAGTAGACAGATTCCCAGCGCGTCAGAAAAAGGTCCCTGTCAAAAGCAACCCGGTCGATGTCCCTTAGAGGTCTGTAAGTTACAGTCTTAGGTGAGATCTTTTCTTTTTTAAGCTTAAGGGTACCTAATGCTAACTATGCAGTGACGATTCAGATCAGGGACATGAGTGACGTCAACATTCCTCACACATGCATCAGTACAGATCACATCGATCAAACTATTACTCTGGCTTGTGAAGTGTGTTGGTGACTTTACGACTTGCTCCAAGTTGATCGAACTTAGAAAGTCCTGGAATTTTTTGGTTTTTGGGTCACCTCCATTCATTAAATTAATGTTAAAATCACCCAGGAGTACTATATGGTCGTGGTCAGAGAATGACACGATGCTGTCGGAGAGAGCATCGAGGAAAATGTCCACATCAAGCCACTGGGGTCTGTATGCAGTACCTACGGCGATTTTCTTACCATTGACGGTTACCCGTATCCACATCTGCTCAATTTGGGCCAATGGGTGTGACAGGGTACGTGCCATAGTTCCACGCGCCACATAGAAACCCACCCCTCCACCGCGCCCCCCACGCATGTTTGCAGGCCTAGGCACATGACGCAGGCGATAACCCGGCACGACAGCTGCCTTTTTAAGCTCGTTTTCACGTAGCCAGGTTTCGTTAATCGCAATTATGTCAGGACTGATGTTGAGCATCGCTGCGATAAAGTCCTCGTGACCGGTGTTCAGAGACCCCGCATTAAAAAGACTGATTTTTATGAATTTCATTTAATATTTGTATCAAATAAGCAAAACGGCGTTTCAGGTTTTGAGTAACAATTGTCAAGGCAGGAGCGCGACTAAGTGTGGGAGTGATAAGATAGTAGATAATTTCTAATGTTATAAGGACATAAAGTAGGTGATATACGATGGTAAAAGATCTGATATAACCTGATACGGAACAGTTCGACTCCATTGCCGCTGCAACACAGCCCAAGCCACTGCCGGTCATGGCAAGCAAGTCAATACAAACGTGCAAAGAGAAGCGAATCAACAGAGGCGAAAAAGATAAACACAATAAAATTACATAAGTAGTTGTACCCCGAATAAGAGATACATGTCAGAATCAGACTGGCAAGGTACTTAATGCAAACATGAATCGTTACACAGTTGAAATCATCGTTTATTGCGTGTCGAACAAGTGCGCGTGCTGTCTTCGCAGGTGGCGCCGCCAGGAGTCCTTCGCCTTGAACCGGCCCTCGCAGTAGCCGCACGCGACGCAGGTGCGGCCGCTCGTGGCGCTTCTGTTAGGCCTCAGCCTCGAACTCAGCGGGCAGCGGGGCGGCGGCGGCGGCGGCGCGGGAGCGGCAGGATCTTATGCGTAAAATCAAATAGACCAGTTCTCGAAAACAGCGGCGCGGCAGCGGCGCCGGAGCGGGCAACGAGCGGGCAGCGGCGAGGGAGCGGGCAACGAGCGGGCAGAGCGCACTCCTTCTTTTGCCCACAATAAATCGAGCGTAAGGAATAAATTTGAATCGAAATAAAATTGTCGCTGTTGTTCAGACATTTCGTTCGCGAATAAAAACAAATATCTCGACAACACAACCCCGAACACAACACTTCGCCGCTAAAGCGCCGCGCGAGCTGCCCGCTGGTTTCGAGAACGGGTCTGCGTTGCCCGCCCCGCTCCCGCGCCGCCGCCGCTCCCGCCCCGCTGCCCGCTAAGTTCGAGGCTGAGGCCTTTTTTAATTTGTGGCAACCAAACCTCTCTGGGAGGTTTATTTCTGCCAATGTCGAGTGAAAAGTATTGACATAGTTATCAATAGAACGTGGGTGTTTCAGTTCTATTGATTTTTCATGGATTCCGTGGAGTTAAGTATGCCCGTAAGCAGGTTTCGAGACGCTACCGGGTCCAAAGCGGGTTGTTTCATACGACAACCCACTCGACACTCGATGCGCGCTCAAATTCGAAGTATTTCAATGTTTTTTATAATTTATCACTTCACTGCACTTTAGAACACAAAATAACACCAAATTTGTACACTAAAGTCCATTAAATAATAAATTGAAACCATTAAAACAGATCGACCATGCTTCCCGTTCAACTACCCTCCACGGAATCCTCCCCCGAAAATCAAGCCCCTTTTTTGTATGGAGTTTTGACGGATTCGATTTTCGATTCGATTAAAAAGTGCGTTTTGTCTAGGGGGGCAGTATTTTGGAACTATATAAAGATCCTTTGCGAGATTAGGTACCTTCATTATCGATTTCGATTTTACATTTTATTCGATTGTACCAAATAATATCGATTAAATTGAGAATAACCTTCGTGACTACACTAGTGTTGTGCAATAATCGATTTGTAAACATCAATATCGAGTAATTAAATGATGTCGATCTTAATTTTGGCAGTATAATCGATTGGGCGTAATTGTCTAGGACTAGGTATCGATTTTATTTTTACGATAGTAGGTAACTATCGTGGTCCCACGTAATAGTCGATACTTTTTTCGAGCAGTAATGGATACTAATTTATGGAAATTAGGCTGAAACCAATGACGAATACTTAAAAAAATAAAACAAAAACCACTCTCTGTCTTTCTAGAATGTATATTTATTGCGTTTCGAACAAGTGCGCGTGCTGTCTTCGCAGGTGGCGCCGCCAGGAGTCCTTCGCCTTGAACCGGCCCTCGCAGGCCGCTCGTGGCGCTTCTGTTAGTAGAGAGAGAACCTGTGCGTGAGCGTGGCACACTCTTGTGAACATCCTTCGAGAGATTTGTGCGTCCGCTCGTGGCGCACTTTGTGAAGTTTCTTACTATCAAGTAAGTGTCGATGCGATATCGATCTTAGTTTTACGACTTTTGATTCAATTGTAACAAATAATATCGATTAATCGTTTTACCGAGAAAATAGTGACTACTGACTAGTGTTGGGCAATAATCGGTTATCATATCGATATTAGTTAGGTATCAATTCTATTTTTATCGACAGATTGGATATTTTTGGTCCCTTAAAGTATAGTTTATTAATCGATACTTTTTTCGAGCAGTGTTCGTCATTTGGTTGAAACGAACGAAGAAAACACACACACACACACACAGGCATATAATGAAACTAACACATTCTAGAATCATCTTTTATTGCGTATCAAACAAGTGCGCGTGCTGTCTTCGTAAGTGGCGCCGCCAGGAGTCCTTCGCCTTGAACCGGCCCTCGCAGTAGCCGCACGCGAAAGACCGCACATCTTCGTGTGTTCGCTCGTGGCGCTTCTGGTCGCACTTTGTGAAGAACCTGCGAGAGAAAGGCTTTATTTATTTATTTGGACTAAAGCCCGGTCTCTGAGCACGTAGAATTTTGTCCATTGACCCTAAGCTACCCATCCTTTTCGCTCGCGCGTAATTATGTTGCTGTTGCGCTCGCACACTCATTGCGGGCGCCTGTCGCACAGTCGCGACAGCAATATAATTACGCGCGAGCGATGATAAGGATGGGTAGCTTGGGGTCAATGGACAAAATTCTACGTGCTCAGCGACCAGACTAAATCAACATGAGATAAAGTAATGCAGACAAGAAAAAAAAAGGTCTAGGCGCAGACTACAGACTTTTAGTAGGCCGATAGTGGGGCCCGATTCTAATTTTTATGAAGAAGCGGCCGATACCAAATCGGTGTAAGTAATGTGCGCATTTTCCTACATCTTCATACCGAACAGCCCGATCCAACTATCGGACAAAAAGTCGATTTGGTATCGGCCGATTTTTCATACAAATTAGAATCGGGCCCAACGGCCGATTAAATGTCGGTGGTCTGCGGCTATGCTTAAATACCCTGCAGACTTCATCGGCCGATAGTTGGGTCGGGCTGTTAATCAGTATGGGCATCTATGGAAGTGCGCACATTACACCGATTTGGTATCGGCCGAGTCCTCATACAAAAAGAAGCCGACCCAACGGCGAGGATGAGCGCTAAAGTGGTAGGAGGACTATCGTATTTGCACTCATCAAGATGGCGCCACTGTAGAGTAAGGTCCTGTCAATCGCCAAGGGTGCCAACTGTTAAGTATAAAAACGATAGCCCTCATTGGCCAACCCAAGTCTGTAGACTGCAGGGTTTCAAAATTATTGACTAACCTCATGCCACATATACCACAAGGGTGATTCCTTTCCTTAACATGCACACAACGAATGTGTATCTTCAGATTCTGCGGAGACAAGAACGTTTTCCCACACTCCGGGCACGTACTGATCTGTCTTTTGGCTCCGTGCTCTTGAATCCTATGCTCCTCCAATAAGTACGAGTATCTGAACGTTTTATTGCACAGCATACAGTATCTTTTAGACGATGCAGTGTTGTGAACTTTCCTCATATGCTTCACCCGGAGATAGTGTGATATGAACGTAGCTGAACACAGCGAACATTTCTTCTCTTTATGAACGGAGTTCACATGCATTCTTAAACTTAATCGGTTGATGTAAGACACACCACATATTTCACAAACGTTGTTCATGTAATGGGAATTCATATGGATGGACAATCGTGTAAATGTATTGAATGTTTCCTCGCACAACACACATTTGAAGTCGTTTTCCAAATTGTATGGAATCAAAAAGTGGTCTCCGTTGCCAAATTGTATACTGTGCTTTTCTGTCAAATGGGATTTTAAAATATCTAAATTAATACAACTTTCTTGACACAGTTTGCACGCTAGAGATGATATGTCAACGTTTCTGTACGTCATGCCTCTTAAGCAATTGATTCTGAGCTGTAAAGTTCTGTTATTAGAGTGGGTTTTAGAATGCTCTCTCAGATCTTGCATGGACAAGTAACTCTCTGGGCAGTGGAAACACCGGAATTTGGTCTTTAACGACTTGAAGAGGCAGAGGTTTGAGTTCAAAATCAGCTTGAGCGAATTTTCGCGGGAGGCGATCTGGCTTTGGGGTATTACTGCCTTCTCTCTGTTTCGTCTTGATTTTGCTGAAATTATAAAGTGAATTTGATGAATGAGATTGTGAGAGAGAAACTCTATTAAAAGACTACAAGGTACATAGAGCGAGAAAGTAATATTGGGTGAGATAGACTAAAGTCCGGTCGCCGAGCAGATAGAATTTCGTACAATGACCCCAAGCTACTCATCCTTATCTCTCGCGCGTAATTATATTGCTGGCGCGACTGTGCGACGGGCGGCCGCTGTGAATGTGCGAATGCGACAATATAATTACGCGCGAGCGATAAGGATGGGTAGCTTGGGGTCATTGGACGAAATTCTATCTGCTCGGCGACCGGACTTTAGCTAGTCTCGGAGTGACTTTAGGCTACAGCGTTCATCAGTTGGTGCCACTGTCTTAGCCATTAGTGTGTTACAAGACCTTACAACCCATTTGAGCTAACTGCGCACCTCGCTGGAATGCGACTCTCTTGAACTCACCCGCACAGCTCGCCGCGTTCGCCCCGTCCGTACCAGAGCGGCGATGTGACGTTACGGCTGTTAGATGCGCAGTTAACTTGACCGGATTGTATATGTAGATCGTTTCATCCACTCGGACGCGCCCCACCAATGTTTGGTCTCGGTCGCGCGGGGTGCGGGGAGTGTGGTCCGAGCAATCTGAGCGGCATTATTGTAGTGTGCGTGTGCACTCATGGATGATTTAGCGTGTATAACACTCAAACATTAGCGGAAGAATGGTGGGGCGCGTCTTCGTGGATGAAACGATCTATACACAGTGGCACCAACTGATTAAAGCCTATAGTAGAAATTAATATTATTCTTTTACCTGTGGTGCATGTGGATTTTTTGACGTTCTTACTTCCATTGGTATTTTGTTTGGTTTTCAATTTGTTTTCAACTTTTTTGCTGACTGCTGACTTTTTCAAGATTTTCGTTGGTTTCTTTTTTAGAACGGTCTCGGGCTCATCTTTGGGTTCCAATTTTATTACGAATATTTGACCTGTAAAATAAAATAGCACAATGAATTGACATACAGTTTTAAATATAAGCAGAGCGACTCCTACTCAAACTCAAACAAAGTTTCGAATGTTTCCATCTCTTTCACGCTAAGCGAGATGCCAGTAGGAGCGACAGAGACAGAGAGAAATCATCAAAATGGGCGTGGCTTAAAGAGGCTGGTTTCCCAAGGTTTCCAGAAAAAGGGTTTTCTGTCAAACTACTTCTAAATTCCTTGCAGATAAAATATCAATTTCTTGTTAAAATAACAGCAAGCAGTGCTATATCCAAAACAACCTTACCTTTATCTTCATCGTTCAACGTATTATCACCAACGTCCCAAGAGAAGTCGTTGTTAAAATGGTCATCGAGCGTGTCGTCAAAGTCATCACCGTATTCACTGTTCTCTTGTTTTAGAGCAGGTTCTGCATCTGAAATAATTTGTTTAACTTTTACATTAAAATGCCAGTACAGTCTTTTACTTTTACATTGAAATAGCCAAAAGGTTTGCAACATGTCTGTTACAATTGGAATTAGGTTGTGTTGTCAAGTATTTCGCCACTTTTTTTAATTATTAAAATGTAATTTGCATGCTATAAATTTATGATAGCTAAATGTTTTTTATTTGTTTTCTAACTGTGAATCTCCTTTTAATAAAGACAATTTATTTTTAACCAACTTTATTTTATTCATACACAGCTTAGATTAATATCTATGCTGTGTATGAATAAAAAAAATTGTAATACAATGAGGATCATTTCGATTTTTAGCTGTGAATGCAGATTTATAGGGCTAAGAAATCCTTAATACACAGTCCAAAAATTTTTGTTCTACGACAAAAATTGACGAAGTTATGGCCAAATTACTAAAAAAGTTCACTGACCGCCCGGCGCGGGGACGATGACGTCATTATATCCGATCCGAACACTGCCGGCGTACTGCGTGGATAGAAAATATTTTTTCTAGCCAAACTATCAGTTTTAGAAAAAAACTTGTAATGACATTTATTCATCAGTGTACCTACCATGAGTTTACGATAAGTGTGCTCGCTAGCGAGTACGTCAAAAATCTCTATGAAGATTTTGTTTCTTGAAAGTAGGCGCTAGGGGCGCTGAACAATATGTCATACAAGTAATGTCATTTTTTTACGCAGTCGCTAGCGAGCACACCTAACGTAAACTCATGGTAAGCACACAGAATAAAGTAAGCTATCGATAGGTAATTTTTAAAAATAGAAATTGTGAAAAATAACGCAAAAAATCCACACGCTCGTACTATTCAATGGAACGCAGAAACGCGATTGGGGTCTCCGCGGTGGTATATTTGGCGATTTATTCAAATAAAGTAGTTAGCCTAGAAGCTGGGTATGAGTCCCTCGCCCCCCTCCTCTCCCCAGGTCATAAGCTGGGCATGACTTCCCCCTCGGCCAGAAGTTGGGAATGAGTTACCCCCCCCCCCCCCGGACCGAAACTGGGTATGACTTGACCCCTTGCCCCTCCCCCCAGGCTATAAGCTGGGTATGACTTATCCCCCCCCCCAGGCCAGAAACTGGGTATTAGCATCATATTATGTATTATTATGATGTTCGATACAAACAATCATTAAGTTACACTCACCCCAACCGCGTCTCCGCATTGCATCGAATCCTATGAAAATGTTTTTGGACATAGCGATACTTATTTTTCACAATTTTTATTTTTAAAAATTACTGGTCGATAGGTTACTTTATTTTGATGAATAAATGTTATTAAAAGTTTTTTTCTAAAACTGATAGTTTAGCTGGAAAAAAATATTTTCCATCCCAATAGTACGCCGGCTGCGCTCGATTCGGATATAATGACGTCACGCGGCCCTGCGTACGTTGACTTTTAGCGGCAAAAACGGCCTATGTTTATTACTTAATATCTTCGTAAGTAATGGTCCGATTTGGAAAATTCAAAAAGATATATCTTTCTTATGTCTTAAAGATTAACGTAGATACTATTTTTATTGAATTTTCTACAACAGTACTGATCCTCATTACCAATTGAATATGTACTCATACAATAGTATCATACTTTTTAATTCAAGTTTAGATTAATAAAAGTCACTAAGCGGAAATTTTAAGATACGTAACTTTATCTTTTTAATATCTAATACATCCCATTCAAGACACTTACCAACTCCTTCACTAGCGTTCAGCATTTGTAGCAACGTGTTCTCTGTGTCGACCACCATCTTTCTGAAGTTGTTGGCATCCCGGAGTTTTGTTATGCAGTCTTCGCAGATAAGCTGCTTTAGTTGAATTTGTTGGGATATCTGTAAGGTTTAAAATTTAAATTCATGACTGACTGCACTTTTTGTAATGCTTCTTTTTTGTGAAAACTAATTTGTATTCTGTTGCTTTCAAATTCATATATGTAGTTTATTCAGTACATAGGCCCTTTCCAGGGCATCTATACATGTCTCAAATATAGCTTACCCTACCACCACTTCGGGACAATGTATGGGCTATAACTAAATAAATAAAATAAAATTAAAAACAATTTTTTTGTAAGTTTTTTTTATGAGAATTGACAAACATCTGTCCTTTTACTAATCTAATTTTAAGCTATAATATCGCTAAATAAACTGTCCAATAGTTTATGCATGAAAGAGTAATAGACACCCATAGATCTACCATAATAAACTTTAGCATAAAATATATGATTTTGTTTCAATTCTTTCCCAGAAATAAAAATCTACTTTTTGTCATATCAAAGTAGTTAAAATTTTGTAATGAAACAATACTTTGATTCTGATTCAAGCAGATAGCAACACCAACTCTCGTTATTATTATTTTCACCGAAAGTTAAAAGCTTTTTGAAGTTATAAGCAAGATTTCTTACCTGTAAATGTACATGGCCTAAATACATCTAACATACCAGAAACATAGCTTTGTAATGAACTAAACGGATGATAACTTCTAATTTAACAAGCCTTTATCTTAATAAGCTCAGTTTGATCGTAAATTATACGTACAGTTAAGTTAAAAGTGTCCAGCAACATCTTTGAATAAATTTCATTTTGTCCCCCATAGAAATACTCGTTTGATATATCTTTGTAGCATCCATCAGTGAGACAACAGCGGCAAACGTTCGTTAAGTCCATATTGCTAATATTATTATGTTTTTATTCATAAATTAAACATTTTATTGCAAAATAAAAAAGCAAAACGACAAAAACAGCAATTTTTTTGACGTTTTTTTGACAGTTGACAGTACTTTTTTTTAGAATGGTACACTCATATCAAATCTCACATCATATTCACCAAACATGAACTTTCGATCGAGATGTACCTGGCCGTAATGAGGATCAGTACTGTTGTAGAAAATTCAATAAAACTAGTATCTACGTTAATCTTTAAGACATAAGAAAGATATATCTTTTTGAATTATCCAAATCGGACCATTACTTACGAAGATATTAAGTAATAAACATAGGCCGTTTTTGCCGCTAAAAGTCAACGTACGCAAGGCCGCGTGACGTCATTATATCCGAATCGAGCGCAGCCGGCGTACTAATGGGATGGAAAATATTTTTTTCCGGCTAAACTATCAGTTTTAGAAAAAAACTTTTAATAACATTTATTCTTCAAAATAAAGTAACCTATCGACCAGTAATTTTTAAAAATAAAAATTGTGAAAAATAAGTATTGCTATGTCCAAAAACCACATTTTCATAGGATTCGATGCAATGCGGAGACGCGGTTGGGGTGAGTGTAACTTAATGATTGTTTACACTTTATTTGAATAAATCGCCAAATATACCACCGCGGAGACCCCAATCGCGTCTCTGCGTGCCATTGAATCGTATGAGCGTATGGATTTTTTGCGTTATTTTTCACAATTTCCATTTTTAAAAATTACCTATCGATAGCTTACTTTATTCTGATGAATAAATGTCATTACAAGTTTTTCTCTAAAACTGATAATTTGGCTAGAAAAAAATATTTTCTATCCACGCAGTACGCCGGCAGCGTTCGGATCGGATATAATGACGTCATCGTCCCCGCGCCGGGCGGTCAGTGAACTTTTTTAGTAATTTGGCCATAACTTCGTCAATTTTTGTCGTAGAACAAAAATTTTTGCACTGTGTATTAAGGATTTCTTAGCCCTATAAATCTGCATTCACAGCTAAAAATCGAAATGATCCTCATTCGCAAAAAAATCAGACGGAAAGCCATTAGGTGTTAAAAAACTAAAAAAAAAAGTTGCAAATTGCCAATTATTGAATTTATAATATAAACGATTATTTATATAATCGTTATTCAATAAATTCAAAAAAAGGTTGAACTCTCTTCGTTACAACACCCAAAAAAATACTCGCGACTGATTGATATTATTTTTTTATGTATTCTATATTAAAATTTTGGGAATTGGCTCCGGAGCTCCGGAGAAATAAAAATTCTCTAACATTTTCACTGTCCACTTTTCAATTTACGCTGCAATAGACATCCCTTTCTCCACTGAGAACAAAAGGATGCCCGGATGAGGCAACAAATCTCTCTAATCGGACGATATACAAATTAAATTTCTGACGTTGTAGTTATTATTACCATAGAATATTTTAATCCCCAAAGGAAGCTCTTGGCTTGTGCATGATGCACAGCACAGTGCATCTCATTCATGATGATCGAAGCAGTTTCATCCGGAATACTCAACCAAAGAGGAACTGGCTACCTTACCTCTAACTGCCGAATTATCTTACTAACTCTAACTACTATGATGGTGGTAACTAGACGGACTTAGAATAAGATCTACCTCCAACACTAGTATTAAATTATCTGTGCTCCAACCAAATGGAGCAGAAAAGTTTTGCCTCCTCTAGGAGTCGAACCCGGGACCTCTTGATCTAAACAGGTGGTCTTACCACTAGGCCACAGAGGCGGCTTGTTTAGTTTATTTATATTAAGTAAAATATAAATAGCAGATTTAAAAACATTTTAAAGAAAAGGCAGAATACTGTATAATAATATTTTATTACATAAATGTACGGAAGTACTCAGTTACAATATTGCACAATAAATTACATTTTATGTCTTTCTTCGTTGGACACTAAACAATAAATACTAAAACAAAGACAATAATATAAAAAAAAAACTTAAAAAATAAGATCAAAATGGCCGCAGATACAAAATGGCGCCTCTAGCAGGGAAACGTATACAGGGTGTCCCAGAATGGGTGAATCAAACTGCTATGGGAGGAAGCTAACCTCTGACCTACCCTTTAAAATATAAAAAAATAGTATAGGTCTAGCGCTCAGTCATAACTCAGACAGTGCCTGAAATATGGAAACAGTACGGGAGGGTGTTTTTGTAATGTCAAACGTCAGCAAGACTTCAGATCTCCTTCAGAGTTATTTGCTTTTTAACGTTATAATACTCAATGTCACCTCTCCCGTGCCGGTCCCATACCCCAGGCACTGACTCATAAGCGCTAGACCTCTATTGCAGGGGTTCCCAAACTTATTTGAGACGCGCCCCCTTTCGACCATACAAAAAATTCCGCGCCCCCTCCTCCAGTCAAGATTATTTATTGGTCGTATCGAGCAGTCTGGAATGCATTCTCTCTGCGGGCGCAGGTTTCTTACAGATGGCCTGCGCCCCCCCTTAAAGGTCTTTGCGCCTCCCCTGCCCCCCACTTTGGGTACCAATGCTCTAGTGCGTATTACCGAAGAATCTTCAAAGTTAAACATACATTTGAAGGTTCCTAATTTTTCCGCTAGAGGCACGCACGGCCTATAATAATGTATAAAAAGTACAATTCTTCATTATATTTTAATACTGAATATAACAAAGTAAATATTGATCATAAATCAACGCGAATAAAATTTAACTATAAAAAATTTGTCTAAAAATTTATTTTTAGGAAAAAGTTCATAATATAACGGAAGGTGTCGTGTGCCTTTAAGTCTTATACAGGGTGATAGTGAAACTCATACTTCGAAAACAAAAATATCTTTGGGACAGTCCATCCCAAAAACAAAAAAAAATATCTTCAACAGATTTTCGTAAACAGTCAGCGTCAAGTACCTAGTTCGCGACATCGTGACACTCAGTGACCAAAAAGTCGACAACACAACCTTAATCCAGCTGTAACTAAGACTTGTAGCGAACTTTTTGACTACTAAGGCCCGATTCGACAAACTTTTATCCCAGAATAACTCCTGGTGTAACTGGCACATTGACAGTTTTAATATAGGAAACTAGCTTTCCGCCCGCGGCTTCGCCCGCGTGGAATTTTGTCTGTCACAGAAAAACTTTATCGCGCGCGTCCCTGTTTCAAAAACCGGGATAAAAACTATCCTATGTTCTTTCCCGGGACTCAAACTATCTCTATGCCAAATTTCATCAAAATCGGTTGCGAGGTTTAAGCGGGAAAGCGTAACAGACAGACAGACAGACAGAGTTACTTTCGCATTTATAATATTAGTTGGGATATGTCAAAACTGACGATTTATTCTGAGATTAATATTTACTCTTGTTTGGTCGAATCCACCCTAAGCCAGAAATCGCGGGTTCGTTTCCCGTAGTATACAAACATACACAAAATAATGTATTGCACTGGCGTTGTATCTACAAAAGAACTATTAGCTTCAAAAACATTTCAACGTCACCCTGTATAACAAAGATCTCGGAAGACAAACAAAGATCGGATTTAACAGTGAATTGCGTTTTTTTCAGTCGGGTTAACTATCCTACTGCACAATATTCTTATTTTACACTAATTTCTCTTCACATGACGTAAACATCTACCTTATTTCGCATTTATGGACTGAGTAAATACAAATGTGTAGGTCATCTTCATAGAAACACACCGAACGCGGTTTGTATGTGAGCGCGCCAATATACGTATTCGGCGCGCACGCACACACTGCAAATCCCCGCCAAATTTTGTCAGTGTGTGCGTGCGCGCCGCATTCGTGTTGGTGCGCTCACATACAAACAGCGCCCGTGCGTTTCTATGAAGATGACCTACTCATTTGTATTTACTCTGGTAATAATCACATTTTGCGATTTTGACATTCCACATACCTCTTAAACCTACTCCGCTATATCAAACGTTGAATTATTCTATCCTCCACATCCACCTTTCTCTCGTGAACCTTAAGATGTCCTTTCAAGGTGCATTTTTGAGTGAACGCTCTCCCACACACCGGACATACAAACCGTTTATCATTATCGTGTATTCTCTGATGTTCCCGAAGAGTTTTCTTCCTTTGATACGACTTGTGACATATATGACAAGTATGAATCCTTTCTCCGTCGTGTTTGATCATGTGCATTTTCAAAGCGTTCTTCGTGTAAAATGCCAAATCACATTTATCACATTTGTGGTTCCGCTCGTTCAAATGATCTCTCCGAACATGGCTTGACAAATGCCCCGGAGTAATATAACTTTGTGGGCACACTTTGCATTTGTATCTCTTCAATTCTTCGTTATGTACTTCGGCTAGATGTTTCTGTCTTGCATAGAAAGATGATAGGGAAATATTACAGCGTTTGCAAGCGTATCTCACGCCAGATTTGTGTTCTTTCGACACGTGATTCTCCCGTTTAGTAACCCTATCGAAGACAGCGTTGCAATGCCTGCATGGGAAACTGCCCACTTCGTGTGTCCTCATATGGCCTCGTAACCTCGCTTTAGAAGCAAACGCCTTGCCACAACTCTCGCAGATGTAATTAGGATAGTGCACGTTCATATGAGTGTTTAGACTCACATAGTTTAAGAAAGTTTTCTTGCAAATAGGACAATCCAACTGGTCTTTTTCCAGTTTAAAAGGCAGATTACTCCAATTCTTATTATACTTTAGTTGGTTACAGTTTTCCACGTGCACTTTTAGTTCGTTGAAATCCGCGATATCAGTTGTACAGATTTTGCACCGAAACAAATTTGTGGTGGGATAGAATCGCTGTGAGTTCGAATAGACCATCTTTTTGAATGCTAGTTGTATGTTATTTTTGCTGTGGACGCTTACGTGTTTTTTTATTTCATCCAAGCTTGTCGATTTTACTGTACACAGCATGCACGAAAACGCATGGTTTTTGCGCATTCTAAATGGAAATAGTCCAGCCTGAAGTAACGCTTCCGTTTCACTGGTGTCGTTAGTTTTAGTGTATTTTAGGAGCTTGCGTTTAGTTGAAACAGTTTTCTTCTTTCGCACTGGTTTTTCGTCTGTGACATCTTTCTTTTCCGGTTTCTCATCTTTCACGCCCTTGTCGTCGTAGAACATGAATTTGTCTTTTATTTTGAACTCGTTTAGAGCTGAAAATTATAAATTTTAAATTGAGTATTTACATACAAAATCATTGCCACCTACGATTAGATTAATATTACAAGAACAAAGGCATTGTTAAGAGTTTATTGCCTCTATCTATAGCTTTTACGTTTTATACAATACGTTCAAGGTTCTGTGAAATTATTTTGGAATTATTATTTTTTTTAAGATTGTTATAAGTAATTTGTTATTGCACAAATTACTAATAGTCCCGTTAGCCCCTCTCTAATGCTTGTGTCACGAGTGAGCTCACGGGTCACACACAATAGAAAGTACCCGCGTTTCCCGGATCACGAGTCGGCCAGTCCGACCCCTTCACCGTTCGACTACCTGGCTTTTTAATTGGTTTATATTTTCATTGAACCATAAGCTCTTGTCAGTCAGTAATGAACAAAATATAATAGAAACAAACGGTTACTCACTTATATTGTCCTCGTCGTCGCAGAAATCGTCAAAATCGTTGCAAAAGGCGTCTTCATTTGTTGAGTCCTCGCTCTTGATGTCTTTCACTGCAGACTTTGTCTCTTCTGAAACTAGAACGAAACTAATATTAACACACTTGAACAATATCTAAAAAAAGATTTTACGGAATTTCACATACTAAACTATGTAATTCATATTGCTAATTACAATTAGCAATATGAATTTCATTAGCTTTTGTTATAGCGCTTGCGCTGCTTCTTCTCAGCACTGGCCCATTTATTGTCCCGAAGCAGTGGTAGGTTATTACTGGGACGTGTAAAAGTGCTTTTTGAAAGATTACTTGCAAAAATAAAATGAGTTTTATATTGGCATTTAGAGCCAGCGGGAAGGCGCTGGATGCAGGCCGCTACCAACCGTGCGATGTGGAAGTCATTGGGGGAGGCCTATGTTCAGCAGTGGACGTCCTGTGGCTGAAATGATGATGATGATGATGATGATTTAGAGCCAAAGCACTCGATGCGTTGAGCCGCCGAACCGCAAAGATTTCGCCGTTTCGCGCGACCGCACCGCTTGTGTGCCCGCCACAGATATTTCTATGTAAGACGACGCAGCGACACCGCTCCGGCGTCGCACCGCCGCCGCAACGCATCGTGTGTTTATTGAATAGAATAGAATAGAATAGTTTTTATTTGAAAGAAAGACATACAAGCAGGTAGGTAAGGATTATTAGTGGACTGGACAGTTTTAAAGACTGTGGGACTATACTATTCCCACCTCTCGTTCCCACCGCTGCAACTCCTGTGTAGCCAGGATCTACAGCTTGACCGCCAATAACCCAACCAGTGAAGGCCAAGTTTGTCCCGGGGGAAAGTTAAACTGCCATTGGACCCGCAATGAAATTAATCAGAAGAACATAGGAGGAGTTCGAAGTTTCGATTATAGACTGAGACTCATAAGACACTTTATTTTTATCACAAGACCCGTATGCGCAAACGTTGCTTGCTTAAGCGAAGCAGCAAATCGAACGCATAGCGTTGAATAGTTCTGTTTTTTTTTAAAGATTATTAGCAATTTGTATTGCCCAAATTACTAATAGTCCCATTAGCTTTTTGTGTTAAGCTAAATAAGCTTGTGTTACGAGTGGGCTCACCACAATAGTCAAGCGGCGGTGGGATTCGAACCCGCGTTCCTCGGATCTCGAGTCGGCCACTCCGACCCCTTCACCGTTCGGCTATCGTGGCTATTCGTGTGTCACCCTGTGCGTCCACGCGCACTGAGACCTCATATTAATGTTTGTGAATGCGGGCATTAAACTCATAAGGCTTTTCATTTTTAGACTTAAAATCTTACCACTTGACTTGACGTTCTGCACAAGAACCTTCAAAGACGCCTCCACCTGTTCCCTGAAGGACACAGCATCCCGCAGCTTGACGATGCAACTGTCACATATCAGCCGTTTTGTATCTCCGAGATCCAGTAATGCCAGCTGTAAAAGTTATGTAAAAAATTTTTAACTTGTAAGTATAAGTGTCTCTACGAGCTATGTGCCCCGCCCACTGCCACTTGATTTTAGCAATTCTGCAAGCTATGTCGGATGGCCGTTGGGGCAGGAAAGTTCTCGAGTGGCGACCACGGGCTGGAAGACGTAGCGTGGGCAGGCCTCCTACTAGGTGGACCGACGATCTGGTAAAGGTCGCGGGAAGAGCCTGGATGCGGGCAGCGCAGGACCGTTCACTGTGGAAAACCTTGGGGGAGGCCTTTGTCCAGCAGTGGACGTCATTTGGCTGAGACGACAAGTACAGGTGTAGCACTTAAATCAGTCAGTGCCTGAGGTATGGGAAGGGCAAAGGGAGGGTGTTATTGTATATAAAAAAGTATATAAGTAGTATATCCGTTAAGCTAGCACCCATAACACAAGCATTTAGTTGCTTACTTTGGGGCTAGCTGGCGCTGTGTGAAATTGTCCAAAGATTTATTTATTATTGTGAATTATGGTCAAACGTCAGCAAGACAAGATTTATATGCTCGGTAACATCATAATATTCCTCATCCTGACAATAGACAGTTTCACACCAAACCCCAATAATTCGAAACCACAACTGTTTTAAAAAGACCCTTCATTCTGGTCTTAAAAACTTAATTTATTTTAAATTACCTGTAAATTACGATTTTTGGTCGCATTGTAATTGAAAAAAGTAGTTTAACCCGGCGCCAATGACGTGAAAATAATTGCAGACGATGACCCCGGGTCATATTGACCCACATTTCATCGATCATTTTTTCAGGAAATTGTACAAGTAAGCTTAATTTTAATTCGTTCGTTCGTTCGTTTCAGCCAAATGACGTCCACTGCTGGACAAAGGCCTCCTCCAAGGCTTTCCACAATGCACGGTCCTGCGCTGCCCGCATCCAGGCTCCAGATAATTTTAATTACTGTCTATGTATATAGGGTTCTTTACTGAGCTAATAAACCAAAAATAAAACGAATGCATGAAATAAATATTTTTTCAAATGTCCAAAGATTATGTTTTGTTTTTGGTAAAGATTTCTAGTATTAATGGGAATCAACAATGTTATATAGTGAAAAAGAGATAAAATCAACTTTTTATATGCAGATACAATGAGATCAGTCTTCTACTTCATCATTCAGAGCCATGGAACTGCTGCAACTGGTGCAGTATGTAATCATATGGTCTGGGCATGTAAATGTGGCATGACGCACTTGCCGGCGTCGTACTAATGCAAGTTCAAGATTATCCGAACACTGAGTCCCCATTATTTGCGTATTTTTCACATTCGTTGCCATTTCTAAGTTCTGGCTATTACAGCCTGAAATTCTTCAATCTCGGAATCCGACTCTTCCAGCAACGCTACATTCTTGCTGGGTCATTTAACAAAGACATTTTGACTAAAACTTAAAAAAGAACAACATAAGCTAGTACTAAACACAAAATAAGCGAATAAAAGTAAGTCACAAAATCACCGCGCCACTGATGACGCCGGGTCATAATGACCCGTTTTAATTTGAAGCCTGTGTATCTCGCTACGCAAGCGGAGTCACAATACGTTAACTAACGGAATGGATTTAGGGAGGTTCTATCTCCAGCTATACGAACGCCCGAACCACAAAATGGACGCAAAAAAAAAATTATGAACGTTTGAAAATGCCTCGGGTCAATATGACCCAGCGTCATTGACGCCGGGTTAATTGAGTTGACAAAATAGTGACGACACTTGCTTGTAGTGCCATACAAATTCTATGGGAGAGTTTCATTTTGACAGTTTTAAAAAGTACGTCAATTGACTGTGGTGTCAACATGTCTATTCAATACATTAATATTGACTTCAAATGCTTGCTAACTAACAACAAAAAAATACTACAATAACCTTCCTTCTGACACAGTGAGGTAAAAAAGTTAATTTTCTTTGACTGTTACTAATTTATTTTTAATAAAATAAAAGACTGTAATACTAACTTTACTTTGCATTTACTTAGGCACTCCCATAATATTGATGGAATAAATTTCAATAATAATTAATTTTAATAAGTTTTAACTTTGCCCAATAAAAATACAATTCATACCAAACTTGCCTAACATGTAAGTGGTAAAATATACCTAGTTTGAATTATGTGAAAAGAGATATTTAATTTGTGTAAATAAATACGATTTAAAAGTGAAGTTTTGATACAAACATTATTACTTCAATTATTGTAAAAATGTATGACAAGCATGCAGTCTGCAGACATGTACTGAGACTAAATAAACGATAAAATTGAAGCATTGATGGCGAACAATAGTGAAATAAGAAACTTTGTAGCGAGAAATTTGCTGACATCTTTGGAAAACAAGATGCAATGCGATACTACGAAAACAAAACTGCAACCATGTCTGGATAAGGAAAATTGATTGAAATAGTACTTACGTCTATAGAGAAGCATTTTAGCAACATTTCGGAGTACAATTCCTGAGTTCCATTATGTTTTTGAGACACAATCATACTCTTCACGGTGTCTTCGTTCAAACACAAATTGCATACCCCAAGCAGGGGTAGCGCCTCTACCATTATCTCGACATCCATTTTGGTGTATTTCGTACAATATTTATTTAATTCACATACGTAATCATATCAAGTGCAGTTCAAAATAAATTAATATTTTTTACGATTGACATCAATTGACATCATGGATGAAAAAATGACATCCCAACTGACATTGACAAATCGATTGACGTGTGTAAAAAAAAAGAAAAAAATGACTAGTCTATGGCATTCAGCTAGTGATGTAACAATAATAAATCTAAATCGAAGAAAATCAGTAAAGTGAAAGAAAAATATAGATGTCGCTAATGGTTTTCTTTAAAAATGAACTTTTTTCGCCGCTTTCGCGATTTGCGGAGTCAAGCTGTTGCCCGGACTTTGATATCACAGTAGTTATCGGAATAAACACCTCAACTACTTATAATACAAGAAATAATAATACAAGAAAACTTATAATACAAGAAATTATCTAAAAGAACAAAACACTTTCATTGGATGGTTAAACTTTATTTTTAAAATAAATAATAATAACCATTTTTTAACACAAAGTATAAAAATGTAATGTTGGAAATTAAAAGGTTTTGCTAGTATTCTGAAACTAATTGACTTTCAATAACTGAACCTTACAGTAGAGTTTAATAATATTTAAATTATACTACTTTAGTTGGTACAACCAGTATAGCCTGACCAGGAACATAAAAACCCTGGCATAGAGGCGCTTCAATTGCATTTGATAGTGCAACACTGAGTACAGTCGTACATGTGTTAAATTATAGGTGTACCAGAATCTCATGGCAAATAGGGAAAATAAACTTTGTTGATAGCAATACTGGGGAAATTGGAATAAACGATCTTGATACTATTTAATTTTTTACTTTTATTACTTTAATATTAATGAACATGAAGTACGAATATACATTTTAGGTAGGTATGTGTATGAAGAATGTTGTTAGACATCAGATTTTTAACATAGGTAAATGTTTTGGAAATTGAATAAATCGTATATTACTTTAAGTAACTAATTTTATTATGCATCATACTTCTAACTTATCACTTCATTCAGAACTAGAAAACGATTCTTAAAACTCCACTTGCATTTCTTGTTTTTCAATAAACAGATGATCAAGATAAAGAGGTACTGTAAATAAATTGCTCTTCCAGCATTTCAATGGAGAAGTTCCTGATGTTAAAACACTATATTTCTCTGAATGGGATTAAAATATATACCAAAACTAAAAAGACGGTGAAGTTTTTATTTAAATCGATCAAGAAATGTCTGAGAAATAAATTATTTATATTACCTACATATTTTCGCGTGGAACTGAAACATAGGCGGTGCCGTTCTTTTTGTATATGGCCAGGTCTGGGATATTTTAAAAAAAGGTTACAAAATTTTACTAAGAAAGAATCTTGAGTGACCCTAGCTGAAAAATTAAAAACTGCTAGATTTAAAAAAAATAACCTGTCAACAGCACTGGCTGGATCAGGGGTGATTTACTGTTTGTACTCCGAATGACTGTCGTGAATACACCGATCAAAATGGCGTGAATAGTTATGCGCAACTTTAGGGCCCTGTAACTTATTTATTTGTAGAGATATTTTCATGATTATTTTACAATTATTATTAGTTTTACTTATATTTATTTCAAGTTTATTTAAAAGAAAAAAATTGGAAACTTCTTCATTATTCAATCTTGCTTTGATGAAATCTTTTTCAATTTTCTTTACATGGTCATAACATCTGCACCAATTTGTGAGATATACCTGAAAACCCCGATAAAGCAGCTATTAAGTAAGAATAATATAAAAAAACCCAACCCTCCTTCTGACGCAGTTGGGTAATAAACTAAATGTATCAAAACATTTCAGTCCAACTTACTGTCAACTCGACGACGCGCTTTAGAATCAAAGATTGACTTTGAATTATGCCTTATTTTACAATTCACATTGAAAACAATATGCTTTGCTTGAACTTTTTCGACTTTTTCAGAAAAATAACAAATAGTCAAGAAGAGATTACAAAAATTTTGCAGCGGCTGACAGATTTCATAATTTTCTTTGACAGGTGACAGTTAAACCATAGACAATTGCCATATGAAAAACACACTTTTCCAATATTTTTGTTTGCCATGAGATTCTGGTACACCTATAATAGGCTAAATTTATGTACCAGGATTCAGGATTACGGGCTACTTTGATATTTTCATAAATTAACGAATAATATTATTAAAGGAAACCTGGTTTAAATAAATTAAATGAAACCATCAATCGAGCTAGTAGGATTTATTTTATTATTCATCAATAATCAAATTCAGAACTTGAATATTCAACTGCAATGTCTACTCATGAACGCTTCAAACTCGGTACTTCTTTCCCAATTCCATAAAATTCAAAGCTTAGAAAGTGACAAAAAACATTAAAATAGGTAGTTGAAACAGACTGCAGCTAATTTTCATAGTGGACTGTACTATACGATAAACATGTCAGTCAATTTGACAACCTTTGTCGGAAACATTATTCAATGAAAATATTGTCCGAATCCTTAGTATTTCTCTTCGACAAATACTTAAAATAGGTAGTTGAAACAGACTACAGCTAATTTTCATAGTGGACTGTACTATACGATAAACATGTCAGTCAATTTGACAACCTTTGTCGGAAACATTATTCAATGAAAATATTGTCCGAACCCTTAGTATTTCTCTTCGACAAATACATTAACACATCGTGAACCACTTTTCTTTCACGACTATAAAAATATTTTAGCAATTTAATTCACAAAATCAATTGCAAACATTTAAAATAAAGTTTGTTTACACTTTGACAACAATAGACTGACATGCAAGGTGACATTTCAATGAAGTTTTCAGTTACTGTTGCCATTAAAAGAAATTAGTACCATTAGTTTTCCGCAACATGGCGAGGGTTTTTATGTTCCCGGTCAGGCTATACAACATAGTTTCTGATGTATTTTCAAATTAATGGAAAACGCGGGAATTTCCTAATGACAATAATAATTGTTTTTTCTATTACTAGCACAGGCGATTTAAATGTCCATTCCAAGGAGTTTCTTGTCGAAGATGAACTCGCCGAGCGATGGGTGGCGTTCCAGCATCTTCTTGAGGGTAGATGCTTTTCCAGCGAGGTCACGCTGGCCCTTGTATTGTTCCTCCAAGAAATCAGCGGTCAAGTAGTCAACAAGCTGAAAAATAAGAAAACAATAAGTTAGAAGTACTTACATTTCATTTTTTTTGTGCTAGACAATAAGGCAGGTATTTGACCGCAAGAAGAAAGACACAAACATCACGATTAGGAACCAATTATGTTTTGTTCAGACAAAAATACAAGCAAAAAATCTCTCAAATGGCCCATACGAAGTACCAGCTGCACTTACGTGGTAATCGTTGAACTCGCTGTCGCTCTCGCAAGCGTGGATGACTTTTCGGATGCTGTCGGTGACGGTATGCTCCATCTTCAAGGCGTGTTCCAAAGCCTCCACGCCGTTGGCCCAGTGGTTGCGTTCGGGATGCTGTAAAAATCATAGTTATTATTCAGCTGCGAATCTGGAAATTGCGAATTTTACCTAAGTAAATAGGCACGTATCTATTTGACCACGTGCTTTTCTGACGACATGCGCTTGATCCCCCTTCATAAGGTAAATTTTCGGAAAATCTACTCTAATAATTATTAGAAAGAGGTTAAACACTGTTTGTTTGTTTAGTATTGAATATATAATATTTTAAACTATTATGTTGCATTTTTTACTATAAAATTATTAATTTTACTATAAAATTAATAATTAAGATATTGTTGCAATAAATCCCGTGAAGTGATAATTTTATAGTATTGAATAGACTGGGACTGGACCGATTTGAAAAGTTCTATCACAAATTATAATTCTGTTGAACACAGGCTGTTCGAAGTTCGCCGGGTCAGCTAGTTAATAAATAGACCAGTTACTTACCCTGACGGTGATGAGTGAAGTGACGTCAGAGGTGAGCTCTCCTCGCATGAGCATGTACTCGATGAGCTTCAAGGCGTGCTCGCGCTCTTCTGAGCCCGCGTCGAAGAATAGCTTGGCAAAGCCTGGCCGGTTGACCTGTAGACAACAAAATAATTATGTTTAAATTCTGTTTGCTGTTGGCCTGTTTTAATTTCTTCATCCTTATCATCATGATAATTTCAGTTAAAGGACGTTCACTGCTGAACATTGGCCTCTCTCTCCCAATGATCTCCACAAAGACCGGTTGGTAGCGGCCTGCATCCAACGCCTTCCTGCCACCTTTATGAGGTAATTGGTCAGTGAATTAGTCTTTTTCTGCGCTCTAGTTGTGATGGGCTGTTTAATGAGGATCTACATCGCTCCTTCTCTTATGACAGTCATCTTTTTGAGTTAGAAATTTATCTATAAAAGAAGTTAGGTTTTCCTATAGAAACAGTAGGTACCTACTTCTTTTTATACCCAGGAAAATGACCTATTATCCATACCTACCGCTGGGAGACGGCAGGTTATGTGGGGCTAAAACCCATTAAAAACCTGGCGTGTTCCCTAAGCTCTGCCGCATAGTGGTGGGCGCCTTGGGTACTAGAAACGACCATGGTGCCAAACAGATACTTACAGTGTCCTGAGAGAAGTGAGCGCCCATAGCGAGGTACTGCACCGAAGCAGCCACCTCCATCTGGATCTGCTGACGCATAGAGTCGGTGCAGTTTTTCTGCATCGTGACCCATTCCTTCGGGATGCTCACCGGATCCTCGCTGCCTGCAAGTTGTAAACGGCATGCTAATACAGATCTAATCAAATAAACTTTCTTTATTTTCCGTAATTACAGGTATAATACGTAAGTGGTCTTACATAGATCTTAGTAACCAGCTGCTAGTTGTGTTGTTGTATCAATACTTTTTAGTCAAAAAGTTTTATGTTGTGTTATCCCATTCGGAATAATACATATAATAATAATCCAGTGGTTTGCTTGGACAATGTCACTAAATAATACCGTTAAACCCTTGTGGTAAGCTAAATATTATTATGCATCATGACTGTGTTACGTACGAGTGGGCTCACCACAAGGCCGGGCGCGGGGATCGAACCCAACTCAAATACCTATCAAAAAACGGAACTAGTCCACTAAAATTTCATATCAGTAGACTATAATTAAAAACACAATCAGAGTCGTGGCTATGCTATTAATCTATGACTGTGTAATTATACTGTAAATCACGCGTTAAATCCGCATTACATTGATAAATAGGTGTTTAAACACATTGATACAGTAGGTACACCTACTTTATTAATTTTGTGTTTCTAGGCATTTTGAATTGCTAAATTTAGTCGTGAAGAATCGCGGTCAAGGTTTATTATGAATTATAGAATATTGTAAAATAGGAACTGCCTTTTTAGAGCAAGAGGTCATCAAAGGCCTTAGGCCGTATACACACAAATAATAAAAAATAAACTTACATTGTGTAGCCAATGCTGGGGCGCACACCGCCAGGAAAGAAGCGACAGCAAGCACGAAAGTCGTCATATTTATTTCTAAATAATCACAGATACAACGAGGTAAGAGTAGATTTTGAAAAAATTCCAGAGTACTCGTGAAAGCCAGGCCTTTACACACACTGGTGCAGAAGGCGACTTGTATCAACCAAAATAACAAAGAGCACTGACTGTAAGCACCAATGGCTGTGATTTTAAATGGCAATTATTAAATTATGCATCGATACCACTATCTCGTGTTGACAAGAGCCGAATAATATCAGCGAGCGAGACGGTAAATACAAGCTTGGAACCAAAAACCTCTGAGGATTTGTGTTTCAAAGCCAATGATGGACTTTTTCTGTTAACTCTGTCATTAGAGCATTATAATTTATGTTCCAATGACCATTTTTGTATACAAATCACGAAGGGCGATACAAAGAGAGGGGCAAGGTACAAGTGGTACCAGCATTACTAATCTACACTACACCTATTAGAATTATGTCATTTCAACTAAAACTTTGTAAGCCCGTACCCTGCAGCTTCATATTTTTGTGTCGCGAGAGGCAACTTCTGCGCCAGTGTGTAAAGGAATAACTTCTGAGCCTGGCGTTGATATTTCTATTTTCACCATTTACTCCGCAGATTGGCAAGTCTTTGTTTACAGACTTCTTTAAAACTAAGTAGGTATACATAATTTTGAATTCCATAAACTACTGGATCCTGCTGGACCAATATTATGGGAGCCCCTTTTAAATATTTACTTCATTCTATTTTTAGTATTGGTAGTTAAAGCAACAACAGTAATACTTTATAATGTGAAAATTTCAACTATCTAGCTTTCACGGTTCATGAGATACAGCCATACAGCCTGGTGGTGACTGACAGGTCCCGTTTTTAGCCTTTGGGTATTATTGTTACGTGCTCTGTGGGTCTAGACAAAGTGCAAATTATAATCGCAAACCAGTCGAAAAGTGGTCGAAATCCCCTTTTTTGTATGGAGTTTTGACGGATTCGATTTTCGATTCGATCAAAAAGTGCGTTTTGTCTAGGGGGGCTGCTCTGTGCCTTAGGGCACCGGAACCCATGGAGGTACCTAAAGGAACCCTACAAAATGACATCCTAATGATCCCAACCAACGGACATTGACAGCTAGTGATGTAACAACTCAATTAAGTAAATCTAAATCGATGGCAATCAGTAAGTAGGTACATAAAAGAAAGAAAAATATTATAGATGTCGCTACTGTTTTTCACGCTAAAGACGAAACATTTTTTCTTCTCGCTTGCGGTTTGCGCTTAGATAATAACAAAGGAAAAGAGGATTTATTACATAAATAAACTTTGTTCTAAAAAATCAGTATCGAAATAAATTGGTAGGCTTGTAAATATTTTGAGAAGGAATAAAAGATTTTCATCGGATGGTTAAACTTTATTTCTAAGAAAAACAATAAACAATGAACAATTTTGGAACGCAAAGTATAAAATAAAATATTGTTGGAAATTACAAGTTTTTTAATTTAATGTATCACATGGGTATCATAAAACTCTAAATTGACTTTATACCTGAATGGCTTAGTGGAGTATATCGTTTAAATTCTTACACTACTTTTGTACAATACTAGTTACATGAAGTCTAATTTCTGACGCACCTACATCGAAAAATTTTGTGAAAATAATGTTTTATGAATCCCGCTATAGGTACCTAAAAACTTCGACAAGATGGCTGAATTCGAAAAGTCAAATAATAATGCGGGAATTTTGTACTGGATATGACTTTTTGCTTTTTTTGTGACTGGCACAGGCGTTTAGACGTCCATGCCGAGGAGTTTCTTGTCGAAGATGAACTCGCCGAGCGATGGGTGGCGTTCCAGCATCTTCTTGAGGGTGGATGCTTTTCCGGCGAGGTCGCGCTGGCCCTTGTATTGTTCTTCCAAGAACTCGCCAGTCAAGTAGTCGACAAGCTGCGAAAATAAGAAAAATATTATACTCTATTTCTAAACAAAATAGGAATCTCAAAATCGTTACAATGTAAGATACGCCTGTATTCACAAAATATGCTTGCTTAAGTGAAGCAGCAAATCAAACGCACAGCGTTGAATAGAGCTCTGTGATTGGTTCGTGTGTCACCCTGTGCGTCCACGCGCAAGGTGAGACCTCATAGAATGTTTGTAAATACGGGCGTATGTTTCTAAACTATGCAAATCAATCAGTCTTTTGTTAAGTCCGCACTAAAATAGGGCACAACAATCTTACACATATTTTCACCGTTCGTCTTTTGTCAGAAAAACATACAAACAAAGATAGCACTAATAACAAAGGATCATAACGGCACTTACGTGGTAGTCGTTGAACTCGCTGTCGTCTTCGCAGGCGTGGATGACGGTGCGGATGCTCTTGGTGACGTCACTCTCCATCTTCACGGCGTGTTCCAAAGCTTCCACGCCGTTGGCCCACTGGTTGCGTTCGGGAGGCTGTAGAAGACCATTATTATTAGGAACTAGCTTTTGCCCGCGTTGCACTTACTTACTTTTAACACTTTAGGTGTGAATTTAGGAATGATGATGATCGCGATGCCTACCCTTTGTGCCTTTCAGTGCAATGCATTCAGTGGTTTGTAATCCTCTAAGGTGATTAAGCTGTGTACCTATTCATAGTCAGTCAGACAGTAGCGGTTCCTTAAATCGATACCTAATGCTTCTCTCCTCGATATTATTTCTCTCCATTTTATGTAGGTAACTACTTGGTTGGCAAAGAAAGCCTTTTAGTATTTGATCCTATATTTGTTCGTAATCGTGTTACAATTTCCAACATAATAATTAACTTTTTAAAAAAATAAAACCGACTTCAAATGCGTGAACACAAAAAAAAAACTAAAAATTAAATATATTGCGTATAAAAAAGTTCATCCCCAATTTTCCACCCTTGGGGGTGAAATATTTTCTTCAAATTCGCATGAAACCACCCTTTTGATAATACCTATTCAACAAAAAAATAATCGTTCAAATTGATTTATAATCGGCGGAGATATTGCGTATAAAAAAGTTCATACCCAATTTTCCACCCTTGGGGGTTGTTTTTTCTATTATTAAATTTAAATGGGACCACCCTTGAGGTATTACCCATACGCCGAAAAAAGATTTGTTCAAATCGGTTCATAATTGGCGGAGTTATCGCGTAACAAACATAGAAGAAAAAAAAAACATACGGGTCGAATTGAGAACCTCCTCCTTTTTTGAAGTCGGTTGAAAATAGATTGCGACAATGTTGGTAAGGTATTTGGCATGCCACAGTGTTTATTTTAAGAATTATGCCACTATCTCAATTTTCTCTGTGGAAAATAATTCGAATATAGCAATATGAGACCTGTGTCATGATTTTAGCTTCGTTCCATTCATGACAATGGCATTATTGAACCCTTTATTAGAACTGGGACACCAATCGCATATCTACCCCATGACTCTCTTCTTTTGAATAAAACAAACATGTCCGTTTCGATTATCCAGTTTGATATAATTACATTTATCAAGATGTATCACATAAAATCTAAGCTGTAATCTAGTGATCAATCTCGCATGTCGTTTTAAATCCGCATCTTCTGCCAATCAGCTTTTTATTCGAAATTTAAATGTCATAAATTTTCAGTGCAATTTCCATTGATTATTTCGAATAAGTAACATTTTTATTCGAATTAGATTTATGGGGAGTGTAGGACAAAACGGTCAAATCGTCCATTTACTTCTCGTGATTATAGAGAGAGTCGTCCTCCTCAGTGGAGAAAATAATGGATCTGATGATGAATGAACTCGGCGTGATAATTAGTGAACTAGTGATACACTTACCCTGATGGTGATGAGTGAGGTGACGTCAGAGGTGAGCTCTCCTCGCATCAGCATGTACTCGATGAGCTTCATTGCGTGCTCACGCTCTTCTGAGCCGGCGTCGAAGAATAGCTTGGCAAAACCTGGCCGGTTGACCTGTAGATCAAAAATTTATGTTTGCTTTAGCTCTGTTGGGAAGGCAGTAAGCAAAAAGTCAACGTAGAGATGGTGTTTTTCAACTGGATTTACAGCTACAGGGGATTCTAGCATAACTACTTCCAAATGAATGTCGAAAGACAACAACGATTTTATTGTTCTTATGGCGACAGACTAATCTACACAAGATATGGTTGTAGTAGGCAGACTTAGAACAAACCCTACAGCCTGTTACAACAAAATAGGAATCTCAAGCTAACTTATCTGGTACACTTAAAAATTTCGTCAGGTTCACCCAATGTCTAAGTAGCTCAGATGGTGAGAGCAGTCGCCCGGCAAGCGGTCGCGGGTGTGATTCCCTTAGGCCTTAGGCAATTCGATTTTTTCAAGTTATTTCCTCGTTGAATGGCAATACTAAGCCTTTGTGCAAGGAAAGAGCCAGCATTTAGTTTTTTCGAAATTTTAATTGCCTAATTTAGGGGAAATGGTCTCATATTTGCGCCGTTAGGCTAACTCAGCCAGCATTCTCGCCTCTTTGCCTCACGGACACATTTTTATTTTTGAGTAAAATAAGTTTATATTCTTATTTTGTTCAGAGTTAAGTTTGCCTTAGTTTAAAAAAAATCTGTTTATTGTAAATAAAATTAACAGTTATTTTAAAATACTTACAGTGTCCTTAGAGAAGTGAGCGCCCATGGCAAGGTACTGCAGGGACGCAGCCACCTCCATCTGGATCTGCCGGCGCATGGAGTCGCGGCAGGGCCGGTGCATCGTGATCCATTCCTTCGGGATGGTCACGGGGTTGACGCTGCCTGGAAATTGTAAAAGAGATTGTTAATCAACAGAACTTGTCCTGAAGTGGTGGCATAGCTATATAATTAATATTATTCCATGACATTCTATCAATTTCTGCACCATCGCTGTCAGGAATCTTATCAATGATAAAAAAAAAAAATATTCGAAATCATTGACAATTATTGATGGCGCGATTTTTTTACAATCTATCAATAAAACATTTTAAAAGAGATCATTGAAGGTGATACCTACTTTTTAAACTTTCTTAAGAGCACCTAGATAGGACATAGAAGTGGTCTTATCGACATGCCTTGTTGCACGTACGAGTTATCGTGCATGGGTCATCAACATGTAAAGATATTAGACGTCAATTTCATACAATGTATGACAGAAGATTAGATTAGAAAATCTTAGGACAACAATCTTACGTCTGTACCTATTTACTTATTTACGGCCGAATACTGAAACGCCATTTAAATATTTGACGGCTTCTCAAATA